GGAAGCTTTGTGGCACATATTTCTCATGGGTTAGAGTATTTACGTCAGCTCTAACGTTGAAGAAAACCGAGTAAAATGACGCGGCTGACTTGGCAAAGGAACTCGGACCACGTGCTGCAAGTTCAAAAGGCAGGACAGGACAGCTCAGCAGATGCAGCATAGGAAAAGGCAAGGGGAGAGCTTGCGGCACGATGCACTCCTTTTTCAAACCCCCAGGGTGACAGGGGCAGAGCATCACCATGCCCCCCTGTCCCCCCAAATTGGACAGAGCAACTTTCACCAGCACTCTACACCAGATCACCCAGCCTTAAGTCAACCTGACAGCACCCCTAGCATTAGGGCAGCTGGGTAGGAAACCTTGTGGTCACTAGCTCTACTGGAGCGGGGAGCACCCAGGCTTTATCTGGGCATGCTGAGAGGTCAGGTTTTTCCAACCTACACAAGAAATAAAAGATGCTAGGGGTGTTTTTTAACCCCTAGCATCCCACCTTCCTGCTCTATGCCCATGATAAAGGCTGTTATAGCAAAGCCTGAGATTATTTACTCTTTATTATAAAGGAAATTTCTACTTTTCCCCACAGCAAGACTTTTATTCATTGCTTTTTTTCCGGTGCTGAATTAATGGGGGTGGAGAGAAAAGAAACAGTCCAGTCATAAAAGGAACTGAGAGAGTGCGTGTGAGAAGTCAGGTAAAGTTAGAAACCAGTCCTGAGGGACTTTTCTGAAGAAAAACACAAGCTTCCAGATGCCGTAGTCTTTTGTGGATAGAGATGAGTACGTACCACAATTAAACTAATTCACACTTTGATAACATTTTCATGCAGAAGGCATCTTTAAGTTTAGACCAAATGCAGCTTTCCATAAGCACAAGCTCTGCTCTGTTCCTCAAAATGGTCCCAAACTACAACACAGTACTAATAATATTCTAGACAGTTTCACTACTACCCAAAAAGCACTGAATAACAAGAAAAAGTGACTATAACCTGCATATTCTCAGTTCTGTGCTTTTAGTGCTTGAGAAAAGCTGCAGATCCCTCATTCTTCCCTGTATCTAGCAAATTCTAAACACTGTGTTCACGTAATGACAGCAGTGTCTAGACTCTGTAAAGCTGATTTTTTAAATTATGCAGCAATTTCTATATTATATTTCCACCACTGGCAAAAAAGGTGTCCAGTTTCCTACAAGGAATTCATTCTCCCTAAAATCCGGTACTAGTATCTGTGCTGGGCACCTGAGTAATGTTCTAAATCATTCTATACAATCCAGTTCAGTGAAGAAATCACGTCTCTAATTACATTTTACTTATGTTCTCAGTTAAAAAACTGGTTACCTACAGTGGAAAAATAAAATGAAGTGTAAGCACTCAAGGCAGTTGCTAAAGCACAAAACTCTTTCTCCAGTTCTGCCATTATTTCAACATCATCACATGAGTAATTTGCAAGCCAAGGGTTTATCTCTCTATTTATCACAAGTAGCTTTTCCTTAAACCCCTCTTTCTGAGAAGCATGCTGCTGGAGAGCATCCTTATACCCACCATATTAAAATAAAAGTAACTGGATACCAGACTCCTGAGCCACTGTGGGATTTTTTTTGTGTCAAGGATCAACAAGACATAAACCCAAACAAAAACTACAATAAATTTAAAAAAAAAAACCCAAACATACAAAAAATTAAGACCCTGCACAGAATGGCTCAACACAACCTATAATAAATAATACCCCTATAATACAGACTTCTGGTGCTGCTTTTAGCTAATACTTTTCTAATCTAAGTGGCAAGTAACTGTCTACCCGTGATGAAAAAAAGTCCTTATTGGCTTTTAGGAAAAGTTACCGACCGAGCTTGAAAAACACAACCCCTCTGAAAAAAGTTAAGCGACAAGAAATACCAACAATTTCAATTTCTACATCGTTTTAGATTTTCACTTGAGAAAAAGACAAAAAAAAAAACCACACCAAAAACAAACCAAAAAACCCCCACCTCCCAGCGCTGACAGTGGCTAAAAGCTGACCCCCGGCAGGGAGGCGTTCCGACCTCCCCTCTTACCCCTCAGCCCCAGGGGATCTAC